GGGATCTCCCCAGGGGTGCGTTGTGACCGGGATTTCGAGGCGAATGCAGCGGTGGCGACGAGGGCCTCCCAGGAGGCCCAAGAGAAAGGGAAAACGAGGGGAAGGGTTGCGGTAGCGGTATTGGTACCTGCTCCTCCTCTGAGTTGGCGAACGTTTTCTTTTTCGGCGTCTCGACATTGTGCGGAAAGGGGAGGGAGAGGGGAGGGGTCTTGCTCCGGACCTCTGCTTCACGCGACCGTTTGCAACAGTGCGTCCTATCGGGGAGATCCCACCTGCCCGATACAGGCGCCAGAAATAGCCACCAAGATCTACTCCACGGGGGGGGGAGGGGGGGCGAAGGCCCACGCCGATCGGCAAAACAAGGAATAAGAACACGATCACTTGGTCCCCTGGTGGTCCCTGTCAATATGGACGGCATCTCCGACCGCGCCGGACAGGACTCCCGCTGACCCGGGCGCGGGCGCGGCGGGCGTCTGCTCCCTCCGAGCCCGCCTGTTCCGTTTCAGGCGGGGGGACGTGCAGAAGGAAGTTTCGGCGCAGGCCCCCCTCCCAGTGTAGGGGGCCCGAGAACACGATCGCTTGGTGGTGTCCGTGCTGGGGCCCCCTCCAGTGGGGAACCCAGAAGGTACCAATACCGCTACTCCTGGGGCCTCTCCTGGGGTGCGTTCTGACCAGGACTTCGAGGCGAATCCAGCGGTGGCGACGACGGATGCCCAGGAGGCCCAAAAAGGCGAAAACGAGGGGAGGGCAGAGGTGTGGGTACTCCAGATTTCGTAATAAAAGGGAGGGGGTCTCAACCCTCCCAGACGAGAAGTTTCAGACCTCCCCCGTGGGAGAACCCTCCAGAACATCGTCCCCAGACCCCCCCAGGCCCTCCAACATAACCTGGAAGAGACCCCCCCCCGAAATGAGACCCCCCTCCCTTTATTACGAAATCTGGAGTACCTCTTCCTCCTCTGATCCAGGGGGGGGAAGCCGCGCCCGCGCCTTGGAGCGCTTCTTGCAGCCGTCGTAGGCGAGCAGGCCGAACACGGCGAGCCTCCCCCACGGCGCGCGCCCGCCGCCCCCCCCCGCCCCTCGCCGCAGCAAGAAGGACGGACGACGACGGACAGGCCCCGGGGAAGGTGTCCACTGAGCAGGGACCGACCGTCCAGGCATCCCCATCGGCCTCCTCCTCCCTCCTCCCTCCTCCTCCCTCCTCCTCCCTCCTCCAACTCTCTCCTCCTCCTCCTCCCTCCTCATCCCTCCTCCTCCCTCCTCCTCCCTCCTCCCTCTCCTCCTCCTCCCCTCCTCCTCCTCCTCCTCCTCCTCCTCCTCCTCCTCCCTCCTCCTCCTCCTCCTCCTCCTCCTCCTCCTCCTCCTCCTCCTCCTCGTTCTCTGCCACGGAATGTTTTCAGAGCCCAGAGATGTCCTGAGAGCAAAGACGCATGTTCTCAGAACGTAAACCCGATGTGCCAAAGCATGACAATATCGGCCAGAGCTGTTCTAAGAACAGTTCGGGCAGACCACAAGAGGTTCTTAGACCATTCGTTGGTGGGACTATAGGCGAGCCAGGACGCTTGGCCACTGCTTGAGTCCAGACCTTCCCAGATCCAAGCATCAGACAAAAAGATGGAGCGCCTGCTTGGCTGCCCCCATACGCAACACGCATTGAGTAGCGTATCGATGCGGAGCTGGGCACGCAGACTGAGAACGCAGGTCTGACGCAGCCAACCCGTATAGTAAGGATGCGAGGTAAGGATGCAAAGGCCCTGGAAGGCCACGTCGAAGCTTTTCGAGCGGGGCGCGGCCAACGAAAGTAGCGAAGAATGAACCGAGGAGGCGAGGATGCAAGGGCAACCTTGGGAAGGTTGCCCATCAGTTACTATGCGGGTAGCCTGTACGTTCGCCGAAACGCGGGCCAATACGCCGAGCCGACACGCAACGTATTGGCATGGACGTGTCGAACTCTTGGTAACTACGCTTTGCGTATCAGAGCGGGCGCATCGAGGCAGCGAAGAGCGCCGGCAACCCACAGCAGCCCGAGGTCGGCGGCGAGTCCAGGCGGGGAGTGGATGGAGAAGGCCTTCTAAGAACGCTGGGAGGTCCCCCGGCCTTCTGAGAAGCCCTTTCAGCCTTCCCCAAGGACCCAGGAGACCTCTCGGGAGGCCAGAGGCCTTCTTGGAGGTCCCGCCGCCTTCTGATAAGGCCCGCCCCTTAGAATAATAATAATAACAACAAGAATAATACTAAGCATAATAATAGTAATAGAAGGAATACTAGCAATATAACATTACTAATTCAGTAATAAGAGGAAGCGCGATAAACATGAACGTTTGGCGCTCCGCGCGGATTTCTTGGATCTGCGCTGGACTCCCTTCCTGGCGTGCGGAGCGGCGCCGGAGCCGCCGCCGGGGGACCCCAGCGCGGACCCAAGAAATCCACGCAGAGCGCCAATGTTTTAAGTTTATGCAGTTTTTTCGTCTTCGAGCCCCTTCCAACTTCCCCCCCTCGCTCGTCGCCGATGGGAGAAGAGCGGCAACTCACTGCGGCCCCAGGGTTAGGTCGGGCATGCACTACTACAGGCGGATCTTGGACGAAAAAAGAAAGAACAGCCCAAACATATACCAAAAATGGTCAAACAAATAACAACAAAATCCTCTTCAGACTATTTTTGACTGTTTTTGAATTTTCCTCCTGTAGAGGGACGTGCCCGACTCAAACCCAGGGTGTCGGGGGCGGCCAAGAGGGGGGGGGTCCAAGAAGGGGGGTGCAAATCATTGCCGGCGGCATGTGCGCGGCCCAACGGGGGGCCAGCAGGAACGTAATGAAATAAGAAGAGGCGCCATGACATCTGGGGCAATATCATGTGGCCCACGCCATGGTATCCTCCCCCCTAGTCATCACCCCCCGTCTTCGCCGCCCCCGAGGGTGCCTCCTTCGCCTTTGGGCACGCCGCCTCGGGCGAGGCAGCGGTGATGGGAGCGCCGGCGAGGCGGGGCGGCGAGACCCCGGGGAGCACGAAGCAGCGGCAGCCAGGGGCCCACCGAGGGGGAGAGCACCAGCAGCAGCGTGAGGGGGAGCAGAGGTCTGAGCTAGGGGAGGGGGAGAGCACCAGCAGCAGTGGAGGGGGAGAGCACCGGCAGCGTGAGGGGGAGCAGTGGTCCCATCCCTCGGGCAGGGCAGCGGAGAGGGCCAAGACCCCATCGACAAAGTCGTGGATCTTAGGGGAACGAAGAATGGCATACACATAACAGCTCGGAGGTCCGCGCGGATTCCTCGGATCGGCGCTGGGGCCCCCCTGGCGGCGCCTCTGGCGCGCTCCGCGCGCCAGGAGGGGGGGGGTCCAGCGCCGATCCGAGAAATCCGCGCGGACCTCCGAGTTTTTCTGCTCATGTCACATTTCGTTCCCCCAGATCTGATCCCTCGGGCAGCGGAGAGGACCCAGAGCCTATCGAAACAGTCGTGGGCCTGCCATCCGCAGCAGGCGACGCGTCCCACGGGGAAGCAAACGCAGCAGGGGTCGTGCAGTGCAGGAGTCGGCACGAGATCGTGGATCCGTCCGTGGACGGAGCACTGCAGTCCATACGAGTCCTGGCTCGCAGATATTCCGAGCGGTGGTGGAAGAGAGGAGAGAGCGCACACGGATGCCGGTGCATGCAGCTCACCCGTGGCGTTTGACACAGCTCCTAACGAGTGGCCAGGCTTGTGCAAAGCAGCGGAGTCTCCAAATCCTCGGAATGCCAACATGAGGCTGCAGCATAGCCACGCAAGGACAGACATCCGCGAGCGTCTGAATCATGAAAACGGAGAAAGACGAAAAACGGCAGCGTCGCTGCAGCCGTCACACGAAAGCGAGCATGCCCCACTGGAAACCTAACCAGCTGACTACCTACCAGACCACCCCAACCCAACCCGAAGCCCAAACTTTCGGGTTGGGTGGCGTACGGGCTCCATCTTTGTTTTTTCAATGTTTCGGGACGCCCCCCCACCAGGAATGAAGGGCAACTTGGGGGCTTCGGGTTGGGTTGGGGTGGTTTGGTGGGTAGTGACCGGCAGGAGACGGGTTAACTGAACTTATCTTGGCGGCGAACCCGAGGGGGAGTGAGAAGGGGCGGGCCTTCTCAATGGACTCGGAAATCGTCTGGCCTTCTGGGAAGTGTTCTAAGCGCTTCTGCGAAGCCCCGCCGCCTTCTGAGAAGGCCTCCTTCTCATTTCCCCCCCTCGCTGGGGAAACCAATAAGTACTGATACCGCTACTACCCGGTCCTCTCCAGGACCGGAGTGCCTTCTTGCCAGAACTTCGAAGCGAATCCAGCGGTGGCGCCGAGGGCCTCCGAGGAGGCCCAAAAGGGGAAAAAACGAAGGAGGAGTAGCGGCATGGGTACCCTTTCCTCGCCTGACTCGCCGCCGCCGAGGTATCGTCATGAGTACGTGAGTACGTCGAACAACACGGAGGACCATGCGGACCTGTCGAACGGAGAGGTGCCATGCTGGCGCAGGTGCGTGTGGCCGCGCGCCTCTGCGCCGCACCGGCAGTGGAGCGCACAGGATGCGAGGAGCAGGGCACAGCCAGGCCAGGCTGCTGAGATAGGGAAGGATAGATGCGGAAGGAAGCTGGGAGGCATCAGCGACCGAAGACATCGATGTTTAAAACGCGCTGGCGTTTAGAACGAAGTACGAAACGGAACTGAACGTTTGAAACGAACGTTTAGAACGAAACAGGCCAAACGCAAGCGAAACCGAAACGAAACACAACATAATAACAGGGAACAACACAACGAAAAACAAAGCACGGGCCCAAACCAAGCGAAACAGCGTTGTGCTCGGTCTTTGGGGGAAACCAAAGGTACCCATACCGCTACTCCACGGCTCTCTCGCAGGATGCGTTCTGACCAGAATCTCAGGGCGAATCCGGCGGTGGGGACGAGGGCCTCCAAAGAAACGCAACAAAGCGAAAACGAGAGAAGGGTAACGGCATCGGCACCGTTTGCTCCTCTGAGAGATCTCTTTTTTCCATGCCGAGCCGTGAAAAAATCCTACGGAATGGTCGTAACAACCAGACAATCAAACAAAAGGGCTCGCAACCCAAACAGCAACGGATCGCATGCAAACCTAAGCAACCACCGAGCCCCTGCCGACCTCGAGCTGGACCTGACTTCCACGAGCTGGCTGTGCGGAATGTTCTCTCGAGATCGCTGGGAAGGGTGCGGAGGTCGGTGCACAGGGCTGCGCACGGGAGCGGCACATGCCGAAGAGCAGCTTGGCCGCGGTGGCCGGCCAAGACCTCGGGTGGTTCGAAGGGGAGGTCCTGAAGGATAGGGTCCTAAGCACGAGGTGCCTTTAACAACGTAAATCCACCCTTGGGTCCCTTTCTGCACTTGGGCCCCCATCCCTCAAAGGACCCCACCTTTGGACCGCCGACGACCGATGCCCGCAGGGCGGACCGGGCAACCCCTGCACAGCACAGTCTCCGTCGCCTGCCAGCCGGCCCAGCTCCTCGCCAGGGAACTGCTGCCCAAAGGCTGTCTTTTTCGCCCGCGGCGCGGGCGGGCGCAGAGTGCGCTCGAAGACCAGGCGGGCGACGCGCGGGACGAACTGCATCCAGTGGGACGCACAAGGACGCACTAGCACGATACGTCCCCCTTGGAGGCTTGTGCCCGACCCGAACATATAGTACAACCATCTTGTATAATATATATATATAAATGTACACACATATAAATATATATATATATATATATATGTAGATGTGTGTACATCTATTATATATATATATATATATATATATATGTATATGTTGTTTCCCGAGCGGCACGGCTACACAGCGACCGCTACGAAGCACATGCTAAAGGATTTCTCGGCGCGCGCGTCGCCCCTGGGTCGGGCGACGCAAACATAGTGTCAGCATCGTGGGGTAACACCGACCCAACATGCCAATGGAAAAGACGAGACGGCCGCAGAGAGAGGACGGAAGACAGAGGCACGCTTGTAGCGAACGGCCACTGCACCCGTCGGGCCCCTGCTGCCCCAAACGTCTGACGTCCTGTTTTTTCCCACACGCCCCCCCCCCCCCCAGAAGCCGACCCTGTCCCCGCAGGATCGCTTTTTCACCCCGACTCCTCGACGGTCCACGGGCCCGGGCCAAAGCACCCGGAGGCAGAAACCCAACCAAACACCACCCGTTGTGAGTGCTCCACGACGCGAGCATGTCTGGGGCCCCAGAGCCCAAAGCCCCCCAAGAGGGGGTAGCAGCTCAAGACGCGGACCAGGGTCATGGCGCCCCCGAGGAGAAGCAGGAGGAGGAGGAGGAGGAGGAGGAGGAGGAGGAGGAGAAGAAAAGGTGGAGGAGGAGGAGGAGGAGGAGAAGGAGGAGGAGGAGGAGGAGGAGGCAGCGGAGGAGGAGGAGGAGGCGGATCGGGAGGAGGGAGGAGAGGAGGAGGAGGAGGAGGAGGA